AATGGCTGTGTGGTGTTTAGCTGCCTGCTGGGTTAAACCACAACATGCTGTAAGGTCAAAGAATCTTCTGATAGAGTATTAGACCAGTGTTTCTCAACTATTGTCTGAGGAACACTGGTGATCTATAAGACATGATAAAGTGGTCAGCAAAATGTCTGCAAACCATCTGAGAAAAACATACATACATATTCACCTACACATCAACTATCAAATAAACAGAATGGGGAAAAATGAAAGTAAGCACTGCAAAAGAGGGTTCAGGGATTTTTTTCTTCAACTTGAAGAGGCAGAGTTTTGTTAGCTAATGCAGTGTTTTTCAAAGTTGTCACACGAAGATCATTTTCCCATCTCCCTTCTCTTCGACAGAATGTCTTAAGTGAAAGCCCTGAAATATTTCTTAGTTCTTCAAAGAGTTCATTATAGCCTTAATCTCATCCCAGAGATCCCTCTACCTTTTGAAAAAGATGAGTTTTACTGTGCAGTAGATAGATTCTACGCAACTCAAGCAGAGCGCTTTAAACCACCACCCTTATTTCAGAGGCCTATATGAGAATTTATTTCCTTATACCATGCCTTAGAGAGAAGGAAAGAAATCAAATTTGATGTAAAAACTTGTAAGAAAGTCAGTGTGGAGATCCATCAGAGGTACTTAAATAATATATTCTAAAGAGGCCAACTTGGTGTTGCCTGGAGTTTCCTTCATTGCGGTTTTGCTCAGAGATTGAAAGGGAAGCTTGTATTTCTTGACTATTTTTGTTTCTTTATACAGTTCCCCAAATCATCTGTATACTCAAGGACACTTCCTCAAAAAAAAAAAAAAAAAAAAATCATGCAAGTCAGCTTCCAAGGCTATGACTCAGAAGTTGCAAGTAGCTTATCCGTATGTGACTAATTAAATGCACTGTGTTCTCCTTCCTTTTTTAAGACATGAAAAATATTTATCTGCTTGGTTAAAAAGCTGCTAGAGCCCATCTCCTGGAAGTGACTACCTCAGAAGCTGCCTGGTTCTCATCAGTGTGCTGAGTTCTTTGCAAATACTTGTCTATTTGTTCTCAAACTTTATGATGCAGAGGAATATATTTTTATTTTCAAGAGAAGGAAAAGAAGGACCTGCTCAAGGTCACACTGGACTTCATCAGCAGTGCCACAAACATAGCTGGTCTCCCACATTCAAAGACGCCATAACTTTTCCTTCTATAAGCACATCACAATTGCTTCTAACTACAGGCCGATGGCAAAACTTGCTATGTATCTCAGTCGTAGAAAGTTTAACAAGCTACACTAAATAATATGAGCATCAGAGGGCTTTGCACTCGTAACGGATGGGGAAAAGAAAGTATACTGCAACTGCTGTTTTAAAAAAGAAAAAAAGTCTTTGAGCTTTTCTCAGCTTCACAATGTATTACCTACCAAACAAAGAGAAAGGAATGTATAACGCATCTTTATATGTCTTCTGCTCCACAGCTAACAGTTACATCTCCAGTAAATATGGTACATGGCAGTAAAATGACACTACGGCAAAATACTGGCACTCTAACCAAGGGGAATTAAACACTATCAGATTCTCCTCCATTCTAATATCAGAGCCTGCAGTGATTCTTTTAGAAAAATACTCCCCTTAATCTGCATTCTCTTTGTTTACAAAAATTCAGCCAGTGGACCGTGCAACCCAGTATGGTTTAGACAGTTAGCTTGACTATAGTGAGATCAGCTCTATACATACATAAACATACAAAATGAACTGCTTTTCTGACACTGAGTATGCAGTATGTATATGAGTATAATGATCACTTCTGTTTGAAACAAATTCTGTGGGGTTTATTATTAGAATCTTACCAAATTATGCACCACTTAGAGAAACACAAATGCCACTAATTTTAGTTTTTAAAGCAAGAATCAAATTTTACAGCTTTTTCCTTGATGAAAGGTGCATGTCGGCAGTTTGCTTTATATGTTGGCTAGCAGACAACACTCTACCTTGAAATCTGAAGAAGAAAGCGTTCTCTCAGTCATAGTTTACAAGCTAAGTCCTTGGGAATGCCCCACTCCTGTTTTGCCTTGAAAACTATTGCAACTCCCTGCAGAGCAAAAATCTCTAAAGGCCAAATACAAAAAGGAAAAATGCCACTGACTTATCTTTTATTATGTTCCTGTCTCTATCAGGAACTCAGAGATACTTATTTTTTTGAAAGATCTGTCCTTTTCGGTCGGAGTTCTGGAGCTGAGAGTGCCTCTCAGCACTGCTGATGCCTGCTCTGCCCAGTGGGGCATGAAGACAGAGCGCCCAGAAGAAATGATCTGAAACTGAAGAAAATGCTACTTCCTTTCTCTACCTTGTGCAAAGACCTCATCACATCTGTACCTATTGTATATCCAGCAAAATCCTCCCCTGCTTGTACAAGCAAAAAGAAGAGGTAGTTTGCTTTGCTGCAAACACTATGTTCATGCCAAAGCTTCAGGGGGTGATGTAGTTAATCTTGAGACTTGCCAGTGAACACCATGGGAATAAGCACCAAATCTTTCACTTAGGCATGGGCTGGTTACGTGCACACAGTGGCTCAGGTTGCTAAGGAAACAGGCTGTCACCTTTTGTATTAGTTGTAATTTCATCATGATTTCATGCCCAGCCATACTGCTGTAGGACGGAAAGCACCTAAACACCACACAGAGAAACAGACAACGTGATGGTAGTTGTCAACACTAATTGCACTGAGGGTCACACTGGGACAGGGTGAGGTGGGAGGGAATTCACTGGTCTGGCAAAGATGGCACATAAACAAATCAGTCACACTAACTGGAGTGAATTTAGAGAAGCCAGTGATTAGGCATTCTGTGTGATTTATCACTTCTACAGAAACACAAAACTTCACAGAGATACACAAGATGATTCACACTCTGACAAGAAGACTTTATATTCAAGGATATAATTCTATTTGTTCTGAACTCAATGCAAATATTTCTTTGAACTTCAGCAAGCTCATAAGTAGATCACAGGTGGATTTAAAAGAAGGAAAACAGGTAATACAGAGAACTAGCTGTTATATGTACAGTGGTCATACTGACTTGTGGGCAGAGAAGAAGCTATACATATGTTTAGTTGAAGCAAAATACATCAAATCCTTTTAAGTTGACCCAGAATTATTAGAAGTGAACTTACTTTCATTTTGCCTTAGTATATACAGTGCACGTACAAAGTATAGCTGCAAGCATACACAATACCGATAATAGGAGTACAGATGTGCTACCTGGAGATGACCGCTACGCAATTAGCAGTGGTGACCCACCCGCAGGAAGGAGTCTGGAGTTAAAAAGGTTGATGCTCCTGAAGAAAGGCAGTGCTGTACTCAGCTGACGTAGTTAACTAAGCAGCTTATGAGGTGTGTGAGCACAATGCTGAAAAGCACTGCGTATGTAAAATGAATGTGGCACAAAATTGTTACCCTTGCTGCAAGGAGAACAAAATTGCTAGCTATGCAAGTCAAATGAAATAAACCAACTGAACTTCTGTGCTCCACCTGACACTATATAACCCAACTTAATTTATCTACATAGGAAATAAAATATTAAATATTCTTCTAATTCCGATGCACTGAAGAAAAAAAAAATCTTTCATGATAGCATTTAGCAATACTGGGGGTACTGAATTATCCAGACCCAGGTGATACCTATCTATCTATCTCTCTATCCCTCCCTCTCTTCCTCTTTCCCTCCCTCCCTCCCCTCAAGCACATTCACATAATTAAAAAAAGAGCAAATTTGTGATTGAAATTGGTTCCATATTCCCCTATTTTCTTATTTGGATTTCAGTTCCTTATTTATTATCATCACACA